CCCAACTTTCAAAGTCCCGTCCCATCATGTTTTTTTTAAAGAGAATTCAAAACAAAAGCATTTTCCTATGGGAAGGATTCTTATAATTAATTCCAAAATCTTATTTCAAATACATCTAGTCCCGTCCCATCATGTTTTTTTTAAAGAGAATTCAAAACAAAAGCATTTTCCTATGGGAAGGATTCTTATAATTAATTCCAAAATCTTATTTCAAATACATCTGGACCCTTTGTCCATTTGTAACTTTCCAAAATCAACGTTATAGTCACTCTTTTGCTATTTACCCCCCCAAAAGTTTTTAAAGTCCTTAAACCTGTATTTAAAATTTCTTTCACAAAGGAGACTCACCCAGTGCTGTAATCTTGTTGTTCCAAAGGTTCCTGATAGCTGAAAAGCAGTTAATAAGCAGTTTCCAAACATGACTAGAAAAGGAAATTTGCAAACCATAAAGGCGTTTCTAGTCAAACATGACTAGAAAAGGACATTTGCAAACCATAAAGGCGTTTCTAGTCAAACATGACTAGAAAAGGACATTTGCAAACCATAAAGGCGTTTCTAGTCAAACATGACTAGAAAAGGACATTTGCAAACCATAAAGGCGTTTCTAGTCAAACATGACTAGAAAAGGACATTTGCAAACCATACATTTGCAAACCATAAAGGTTCATAAAGGCGCTGACTGCAAGGTGGCTCTCCCAGAGCTCTAAACCTGCCAGATTCTGCTGTCATGCAATCTCCTTGTGAGGAGCAACAGTCTGGAGCACTTGTGGGTAATCCGACGTCCTCTCCTTGTCCAGAGAGGTATCCCGAAGACCCGGTCCACCCACTGGCTCTTTATTCCATCACGGTTGTCAGCTCTGTTGTCTTCAGTTTGCTGTTTCTTCCCCAGAAGTCTGCCAAATGACTCTCAGTGGCTGTTGCTCGACCTCAGCAACTTTAAGCATGCTGGCTAGGGAATTCTGGGAGTTGAGTGCACCCATCTTAAAGTTGCTGAGGTTGAGAAACACCGGCTTATAATATCATCCATCATCCTCATTTTAGCCTTGCGTTCTCTGGCTGAAGGAACGGCCATTCCTCTCCGTCTCCAGTGTGTTCATGCACGAAACATCTTGTCATGTAACGCTCTGCTTACAATTCTTTTTCTTTAAAAAAGAAAAAGGCCTTTCGTTGTTTAGTAAAGCAAAAGGAAAAGAAAGGGGGAAAAAAATAAAACAATAGCAAAAGGAAAAAAGCAAGGGGGAAAAGCCACAAAACACATACATATGCATGTATGTCTATGGGCATTATATACATACACGTATGTAGATAAAGTTTTACGCAGCTGTTTCAATTCAGAAGGACCATTTGTCACTGGTCCTCCACGTATCCTCTACATCCGCAAGCAACTCTTTGGCGAATCCCCAGTACCGTCAAGCCCTCCCTCCCGTGAGTAACGGGGGCCACCCCTTTCTCCTTCCAAAGCCGGCCCGGCCTCTTCGCCACCTGGAGGACGCGCAGCACCCGGGCACTTGGCCAGCGCCAACCCCCAGGGAGCGCGCCTGAAAAGCGCCCAGCCGCTCTCCCTTCCCGTCGGCTGAAGGCAGCGCCCAGCCGCCCGCGCGCAGCCGCAAAGGGGCGGCCTGG